CAGAAACCTAAACGGTTCCACATTTATTAATAACACACTCGTGTGCTGCACCTTTTCTTAATGCAGCGGACAAAGGTGGATGGAAATGTGCTTTTAGAGCTGTGGCTCTTGTGGCCGGGATGAAAGGGTGATGTAGACGGCACGGCGGCCTGAAATCACATTAACAGGCGATCGATAATTTTTCTGCAGAAGTCTGAATCTGTTTTCTCGCTTGAAAGCACACTTTAACACCCCGCAAAGGGTTTTGTTCCCACAAAGGAACCCAGGAAGTGTTCAAAGCAGCAACGTCAGTTAATGGCAATTTGGTGCTGATAAATAAATAAATAAACACTTCTTTCTTCTGACGTTTTGGTCTTTGTGCATCTCAGAAGCAGATTAAACCATAAATTCTGTCTGACTCGGTCTGCCGGTAAGAAGGTGCGTAGACAATCTGTTGTGCTGTCAAAATAAAATATTAGGGAGTGAAAGAAATGATTAATCATGTAATTATCACCCTTTGAGATATTTGTAATCAATTTAACACAATCTTCTTTTTCACAGGAAGCACAACAGATGGTTAAAGTGACTGAAGATAGAATATAGTAGATAGGTTTCACAGATGGAGCTGGTGGAAGGACACGTGTGATATAGATCTAGAGAGCTGCACTGTCGCCTCGCAGCAAGAAGGTCACAGGTGCAAATCCCAACTGTGGCCTTTCTTCACAAAGACCACACGTTCTTCGAGTGTGTGTGTGTGTGGGTGGGGAAGAGGGGGTCCAGGCACTCTGATTTCCTCCCACAGAACAAAACCAGGCATGCTATTTGAACGACACCGTCTGAACTGTCCCTTCATGTCTCACATGCCTCTGTGATGGATTGGAAGTCTTTTTCCTTTTTTCCTGTGGTTTGGACGCCAGCGTCTGTGACCCTGCTCAGGAGTGAAAAATTTATGAACGAATGACCGAAGATGTGGTTGATAGATAAAATAGATGCAGTAGATGATGCCATTTTATACAAAGACATCTATAGACATGATCGATGCATCTAACAGATCTGGCTCTAGATGTGATGAATATGATAAACAGATATAGTACGTACTATGAATACCGTACTCAGTTATGTAAACTGCAATTAATTCTGCAGAGACAATGGATGCAGTAGCTTATGTGTTTGGTATAGACACTGTAGATGACAGATACAGTAGGCAGGACTATAGATACAGTAGATAGGACAGATTTGATAAACACCATGAGTAGATAGGGTCGGCAGATACAGCAGGTGCCACAAGTACTTTAGATATAAACCTGTGATTTGATTAGATGTAATAGATATGAACACTAGATAGAAACTGTTCATTACAGCATTTTTAATATGAATAAATGTTTACTTGTGACAGTTTTGGGTAGAGGAAAATATAATTGAAACCTTATAATCCCTTTAGGGAAATATTTTTTTCTGCTTTTGATTCATTCCTGAGGAGCAGCGGTCTGCCATTATAACGCCTGAAAGGCAACATTCAGGGTTCAGGCTTCAGCAGGGCTAACCAGAGCCACAGATGAATCAAATCTCCTGCTTATTCTCAGCTTTTATCGTACTGATGATTAGCTATGTCTGTTCGTATCAAACATCCAGAAACAGAAACAAACTAAAGTATCTGTGGACCAAACAGATAAAGACATGGTGGGAATGAGAACTTAAATGGTTACAGTGCATCAAAAGCAATTGGGACTCCATAACTGGACTTGACATGAATCTGCAAAGCCTCATTATACCTGCAGATATTGGTTTAATAGTTCGGTCTCACTCAAAAGCTCATTTGTATTCCGTCTTTAAAAAAGTAGTTTCAACACCATATCTGAGGAGCGATGTGACAGCAAACTTCTCCCATATCAGCTTTTGCAGATTTTACTCACTGATGACCAAGTTGAAAAAAATGGAGACATTTTTAGTATCAAGCATGTCACTGTAGGGATTTAACAGAGAGATATTAATCCAGTCAGGGAAAAATGGTCTCCGGAGATGTAAGATGCAGTCCACCTTGAATCTGTGGCCTTGACTTGGGAAGCAGCCTCCAGTGAACCTATTACATTTAATCTCAACAAACTGTTGGCTATTTTTCTTCCTGAAGACAAGATATTGCCAATATCTCATCGCCAGGAGAACTGCCTATATTGTAAGTGACTTAAGCAGAGTCAGTAAGCTGTATCCGACCTTCACGGAGACTCATCAGCAGCTCCTAAGAGCTCAGCCCACGTCTAAAACCAAAGACAGGAGGTCAGTGAGGGAACGTACGCTGGGATGTGATACAAGCAGTGAACAAAATCTACTTCTCATGGCTGCTCATGAGGAGATCAGGAACCTTGGAGGCTGAGGAATAAAGTCCTGTACCACATTCCTTGTAGATAGAGTATAATTACACAAATTGTAATCCAGATTAGCCTCTGTAGCCATTCCGTCTTGTTTACATAATCACTTTGAGATAAAGTCTTCATCTGTGGCTTAGTGACCAGATTATCGTATGTTCAGGAATCACCTGACTACCAGTAATTACTGACTTTTCATTGGAAAATAAAATAAAAATTAAATTAAAAAACTCCTTTTTGACACAAGAGTAAATCTGGGAAGCATGTTTTTATACATTTCCCCAGGAAAATGCATGATTTTATTATTTATAGGTAATAGTCAAAATCAAGTTTTTTAGATTTTGAACAAAAGTTGCTTTGATTTGTTTTGGACTCTTCGGATCCTTTGTAATCACAAAACCAGATGGATACATTTCTCCTGATGCTAACGGATCCCTGTAATGTTGGAGACATTAGCGTCCTCTGCTCTCAACTTCCAGCTCATTCCTGCTTTCGCACCACAGGCATGAACCAAAAACCCAGTCCATCTGAGAAAAGCCCAATCCAAAACTGGTTCAGTCAAGCTCCCAGTCATTGGTTATCTGAGAACAAATAGATGCAGGAAGCTTGGCCATGACTCTAAACATTCTAAGTCTAAGAGCATCTCACAAAGCTGTGACTGTATGAGCTGCAATGAGCCTTTTGTTACAAACGTCCACGATGTGATTCATGTTGGAATAAAACCTGGAAGTTTCTAATATGCAAAGATTAAGAATGTTTTGGTGCAGTTGAGGAACACTGATCCCTCTCCTTGGGTATCTTCATTGAGACGCTTCTGCCAGAACCAGAAACCCACTACGCCAGAGTAAACTAGATAGCGCTAAACACCAGTCATAGTTTTCTAGGTCCAAATGTCTTTTGTTGTCCGTGACTGTTTTTCTTTTTCACACTCTGGTAGCTTGTCCTAAAGTTGAAGAGGTAGCAGCCGGCTGTTTCTCCTGCTCTCATATTACTGAGCGGAGAACCTCTCACACCAGAGGTGTGATGAGTGGAGAACCCAGGGAAGTGTGGTGGTTCAGTGAGAACGACAACTGAACGGTCTGATAGCTGAGCTTTAATTTCCGAGTGTATGAACTTGGGTTTTATCTAAAATGCATTTGGTTTATGATCAGATGACACAACGCATGTGAAGAGTGGATAAATGATCTAGTTTAAGCAGTAGAACTGAGAATCAAAACCGTGCTCCTGGATCCTGACCCGGTCTCGTGTCTAGATAAGATTCTCTTGGTTTTGTTTTCGTGACAACATAAAAAATTTAATCTATAATCTATATTTCATGTTTTTATTCAACTCTGCAAACAGTGTGTCACCCGACAGAGCAGAGGACCAGCAGTTCCTTAATTCCAAAAGAGGGGAGCAAGGCCTCCCCCTCCCCCTCCTCCTCAGACTCCCCCTTCTCTCACTAGCCAATTCCCGGCCGGCTGCCTCCCTAATAAGTAATAGAACCAGGAGGATTGGCAACGGCCTCAAGGTTTGACATTGCCTCAATGTGGGTGGTGATGAAACAGCACCGACTCGGCTCCAGTCAACTCGCTCTTGTCTCAGCGCTGTTATGCTGCACATCCACCCCCAAAAGACAGACATGAGAATTACTCAAGATGTGTGTGTGTGTGTGTGTGTGTGTGTGTGTGTGTGTGTGTGTGTGTGTGTGTGTGTGTGTGTGTGTGTGTGTGTGTGTGTGTGTGTGTGTGTGTGTGTGTGTGTGTGTGTAAATCTGCATGTAAATTGGTATCTGCTCAGAAACACATACATGCATTCAACAGATAACTAGGTATGCTTGCTGCCTCACAGGTAGAACACAGGTCGGTGTTTTGAGGGGGGGGGGGTGATTGATTCATTTTCCTTCCTTGTGGTTTTAATTCCAACCAGAATAAGAGTTTCACGTGCAACACAGAGACACTGGTGCTGAGTCAAAAATTATCATTTTATCAGCTTCTATCTTTTCCATAAGGCCAATAAACTGGATTCAGCAGGAAACCAGAAACTGAGGTCGAATGTCTCAGAAAGTCTGATTTCTAAAAGTCCTGGTTTGAATGCTTTTATGTTAGGGATTAGAGCAGACCCTGAGAGACAGAGCGAGAGAGAGAGAGAGAGAGAGAAAGAGAGTCTCTTGAATGCTAACAAGCCCACCTTTCACCTGCTCACACTTCCAAGTCCGATAAACACCAGTCACCAGATTGGTTCCACTTATTACCTCGGCCCCTGCATGCTTTCAGTTCCATCCTGGCCTGACGCAAATCCCCTCATCTATAAACTCAGCCGCTCAAAAGAGGCTGCTTTCTTTCCCAATCAATCAGAATCTTCTGAGAAATCTGCAGTGTGTGCACTTGCGGCTCAACAATTCACTAGTTAGCCCACTAAGCAAAGCAGCTCACGTAGGCTATTAGAAAGAGCGTAGGCTACCGCAAGAACCCCTATTGAGCGGCTCAGTCAAAGCCTGCATTGAGCGCAAAACCGCCGAAATGCGCCCCTGAAAAAGTCCATCCAGAGCGCCGCGGCCGCCTCATTTGCGCACGTCTGAAACATTAAAGCTTTTGATTTCTCCCCACACGCGCGCGCACAAACACGCACACACATTGAGGCGCATTAAGAACAGAGAATTGCTGCAGTGGCTCGTACCTTTCACACAAGTGAACATCAGTGAAAAGATGAGGTTCCAGAAAACAACTCCCGTCCTAATCCGCATCGTTTTGGCTTGAACAAAGTCCCTCCGGCCACATTTAACGCATCTCCTGTTGAAAACGTCCCGCAGTTCAATAGATCCGTCGTAGGATCCGTCCCTGTAAATCCCCTTCATGTTCTCAACTACAACATAAGCGTGCAGCCTGGCGTCTCGCTGTGGCAGGTCGAAGTGGGTTCCCTCCTCACAGGAGAAGCAGACCGAGCCGCCCGCCGCGCAGCGTCAGCTGATAGGAGAGGAGTGAGTGAGACTGGGTTTTTGGAGAGGAACACAGCAACCTGGACGAGGGCTCAACCATCTCTGCTGAGAGGGGCATCAAGTGTGAGGATCTCTGTAGACGCGCACCGGCGTCTGCTGCTCAGCATCTTCACCCCCCTCCTACTAAAGATGAATACATAAAAACCCGGTAAAGCAGCTGAGGGTGGAGATGAGTCCGAATTTGAAGGCAACCTTCATGGATCGGAAATCAAAGCAGGCAGAGAGAGAGAGAGAGAGAGAGAGAGAGAGAGAGAGAGAGAGAGAGAGAGAGAGAGAGAGAGAGAGAGAGTGAAAGAGAAAGAAAGAATGTGGTGGGGAGATTGCCCTGTGTGTGTGTGTGTGTGTGTGTGTGTGTGTGTGTGTGTGTGTGTGTGTGTGTGTGTGTGTGTGTGTGTGTGTGTGTGTGTGTGTGTGCGCGCGCGCGTGTGTGTGTGCGCGTGTGTGTGTGTGTGTGTGTGTGTGTGTGTGTGTGTGTGTGTGTGTGTGTGTGTGTGTGTGTGTGTGTGTGTGTGTGTGTGTGTGTGTGTGTGTGTGGAAACGGAGAGGTGTGGGCGGTGGAGAGAGAAAAGCCGGGAGGAATGTAAATCCTAGAGGAGAAATGAAACCTGTTAATTCATCTCACGTGAGACATACATGTCATTTGTGTGTGTGTGTGTGTGTGTGTGTGTGTGCGCGCACGTGCGTGTGCGTGTGCATGTGTGTGTGCGGGGGGCACTTAGACAGGCAGCATCCCGTCCCGAAAGCTGATGAAAGAAAATCCACCTCGCTGGCAATCCCACCATAACTCTGATTTTCATTTCAGAGATGGAGCGGCTCCGTTATTGGGGCTGATGGGGCTGGGCTATTTGCAATGCAAAGATGGAATGATGACGGCGCAGAGCTGCAGTGTGGCTCTTCTGCCACCTAGCTTCGGGAGAGTCATCGACCTTTAATTTGAGGGGGGTCGGTGAGGGGGGGGGGGGGGTCTGATTGCTCATCTCCAGCTCTTCTGGTTATGCTGTGGCTCATAATCTTCATTATATCTGGATTAACAGTCTGAATTATAAAATAAATAAAATCTGAGTCTCTGATGCAGCAGCGCAGAAATCAGATGAGGTTTAAATCAATGGCATCAGCTCTGGGTTTGAATACTGCGGATGCATTAGTTGTGGTTGATATGACCTTCATAGTAATCAATAATTTGTGCTCTATTAGCAAGATTTATTTGCGTTAAGTCAGCAGGAGGAGTCCATCCGGAAAGCTGTAAATTAGTTTTGAAGAAGCAGCCCGGGAGCTGTCCATGGTGCTGAAGCCACAGACTGGCGCCGCATGCGCTCCTGTCATCAGGAGGCGGAGGTGCAGACCCGGAAACGGTTAAAACCTGCAAACAGAAGCAGAACTGAACCAGAACAGCAGCATGAAGATCTGATTAAAGTCTGCGCTAACACAGGTGTGAACACAGGTGTAGGCGGAGTTAATGATGTCATTAATCAAAATTAAACATCTGTTTATTTAACTAGCTTTATAAGATTTGGGTTATTATTACTTATTTATCAGACTTTGTTGTAATTTATAGGTTTTATTTGTTTTAAATTATGTTAATCCTTATTTAGATTATTGTCTTTACTCATATTATTTTTAACTGATTGATTGACACGCTTCATTAATAAACAATAATTAACTGAGAGAATAAACTTGCATCTTGAATCTGATTTAATCTCTAAATCAGCAGAATTCTGTTGAAGTATTGGCCTTTTGACATATATTCAGGAACTCTTAGAAACTATAAATCACAGCAATCATACCTGCAATAGTCAGGTTTTGAGAGTAAGTTGTGCCTATAAAGGTGTAAAACTGGTATTTCTAGTGATACACTTTGTTTGGAGTTATTAACTCTGCCAAGTGAATAAAATCCACAGAGGAGCTTTGTGTACATCACATTTTGCATGTTTCTGTGAATGGGCTGCACAGTGGCGCAGTGGTTAGAGCTGTTGCCTTGCAGCAAGAGCCCCCCCACCCCCCATCCCACCCCCGTGCGACCCTACATGGACAAGCGGGTTCAGAAAATTGATGGATGGATGTTTCGGTGAACACCTTGATGATAGTCAATTGCATTCAGCACGCATGAACTAAGTTGCTGCCACATGGGCGATACATTTGTATCCCTCTGGAGAGTTATGTAACACAATGGATTATGCAGCAGCAACAAACCGGTGTGTATCTGACTGTGTGTGCAGGAGGTCCCTTATTCCCTGCTGGTATCAGAATTCTTCAGGTGTCTACAGGCCCACAGGAAGCTGCGGAGGATGGATTGAGGCACAAGCAGCTTGTCTTCACCAGTGTAATCGACAGGTGGGCCCAGGAGAATGAGCTTTGGCCATATCGATGCCTCTTGCCACCTCTTGCTTGATGTCTGATGAGCAATGGGACAGCCCCCTCCCTGTTGTTTTGCGTGAGTCCTTGTATGCATTGATTGCTCATACATGCCAAATTAAACACACGGACATGCTGTTGCACATAGAATGCACATGTGCAAATATTTGCAAGATTGAACTCATACAGAGAAGCTATCCATCAGTTTAATGCACCATTACTCACTGACCTCTGCAGCAGCATGAACAGAGTGGGTCAGCTAACTGGCCAAAATATCTGCCAAGTCACTAAACAGCCAGTCAAACTGTTGCAGCCGCTGCGCCTCCTCTGATTTGTCCCTCGGGGTCCCAGAAGGTCGCACTTATGAGTCTGGGCAGCATGTTCCAATTAGCAAAAGAACAGACGCCGGGGAAAGTTTCTGTGTTCTGCTCACCAACCAAAAGTCTTCCCAGAGGGTACTCGGGCCTAGTCTGTTCTGCAGCTGTCTTTGTGCGTATGCACCGTGCACATTCAGATGGTATGCATGAATGCATGTGCAAGTGTAAATAAAAGTGTCAGATTATTTATGTGTATCTACACTTTTGTCCCGCAGGGCGTGTCTCTTTCCATGAACATGTGTTGGGATGGTACATGCTTTGGCATCTAAGAGGAATTCTTCACGTCTGAGTTGTGTTTTCTGTGTGTTTATTTCTCTCCGAGTGTTGGGGCAAAGTGCAGCTGGTGGGGCGTTAATAGAGTAAGCAGCGGGGTCGGATTAGTAGGGTCAAATTTAACTGTTGAACGTGGTTTCTCTCACACATACACACGCCCACACAAAAAAGCTTGCACACACATGCACACACACACAGACACACATGCACGCACACACACAAATGCGTGCGCACGCGCACACACACACACACACACAAATGCGTGTGCACACACAGACACACATGCATGCACACACAAATGCATGCGAACAGACACACATGCACACACGCATGCACACACACAAATGTGTGCACACACACACACACACACACATGCACACACGCACACACACACCCACACATGCACGCACACACACAAATGCACACACACACACACACACACCCACACATGCACGCACACACACAAATGCACACACACACACACACAGACACACATGCATGCACACACACAAATGCATGCACACACACACACATTTACGCACACACACAAATGCATGCACGCACACACACACAAGCACACACACTCACAGATGCAACAATAGACACCGGTGTTTGGGTTATACTTCATTGAACACAAGTAGAAAGTAAATGCAAACAAGTAGAGCTGAAATCTGTGCTTATGAGTGACAAAGGCAGTTAGGATGCCTCAAATAAAACTTTTGAACTTTTGACTCTAGAAGTGTATAGTGTTTCTGGACCTAGGAGTCACTGGAGTGGTGTTCCCACTCCAGTGACTGGGAACAATGGAATACCTGAAAAGTGAAACGCTAAGGTAGAATTTATAATTGAAACATCCTTTTTCCTCTTTTGCATGGATCCAGTTTTACGTTGCCATGTTGAGCTTTCAATTAAACCAAAGCACACCTTTACGCCTCACTGTGCAGCAGCTTACAGAAAATTGCATTGACAGTTTCCCTGACGTGCCGGGCGAGATCATCTTCAGCACGGCGCAAGTATCTTGCTCAGGGCGACACTCGGAGCTACGAGTCACGGTAAAGAGTTCAGTCTGAGTAAATGTGGATAAAAAGTGACGTGAAGAACATCAAAACCAGTTCTTGATCCATTTTTAGTCCAAAGAAAGCTTCATAAAATATGAATTACACAATATTTTGATATGTGACATCGTTCTGCACATGATTGTTCACACAGTTTGAGTCTTGGCTCATTGTTATGCACAATTTCTTCATTAAGCTTTTTATTATTTCATTCCAGTCAGATCTGAGCTGCCTTGTGTGGATGCTCACATGCTTTGTTCACTCATTTGACATTAAATATTCCTAAACCTTTTATCTTCTGAGAAAAGTCTGAAACTGTGTGGGGAGGGGGGTGAGAGATAAAAGCACAAGGAGCTGAGGGAAAACAAGAGAATAAGAGAACTGATTGGAGGATGATGGCAAAAACAAAGGTGTGAGACAGAAAACTGATGTGAATTAAAGGGCAGAAGGAAGTGACAAGGAGGGGCAGGAGGAGGGCGTGGGGCGGGTGAATGAAGGTCGGCAATAAAAAAAGACGAAGAGAGCAAGGAAGAGGGAAGCAACCGTGTCGGGAAAGTTATTCCCCCCTTCTCTTCTGGCTTTCCGTCACACTTAAATGTTAGAGATCAGCAAACAAATTCCAGCAACAGACTAAGATAACACAAGTAAATCCAAAATGCAGCAGGTCTGGAAGGCTGTTTTCACTAAATAAATGAAACTGTCATTTAAAAACTACATTTTGTTTTCACTCAGGTTATCTGGGATTGCTGATCTGAAACGTTTAAGTGTGACAAAATCAGAACATATGTTTTCACAGCCCTTTTCTGAGCAGCCTGGGAGTTTGTCCTTATTTCTATTAGGTTCTAATTATGGAACCAAATCAACTCACACTGGGGAAGAAATAAAAAAGTATACATATGTACTTATATTTGACATTAAATAAGATAAACTGAATTATTAAAGAGATTAAAAGTTCCCATCTCAATAATAACTGGTACAACCAGAAAGAAAAACACAGCTGCTCGCAGAAGCGACTCTGCTGCCACTGCAGCTCACCAAACTTCAAAGAAGGTCACTTCATATCCTGAAATGTAAAATGAACAGACGGGTTACACAAACACTTTATTATGTGAATTAAAGATCAAAGAGAAAAAG